GTCTTTCTCCGCCGGCGCCAGCTGCTGCTGCCGTCCTCGTCTCCCTCTCTTTGGGGCACGGCTCCCTCTAGCGGTGCGCAACACGTGGGGGGGCTGCGAGCTCTCGGGTGGCTTTCCCCCGAAGACAGTCTCTGCGGCCACTCCCTCGCCTTCCCAAGGAGCCTGGCCGGTTCTCCCCTAGCAGCGTTCCCAGCGCGGCCGCCGGGCACGAGCAGCGGGAGAGGAGGAGGAGGAGGAGGGTGAATGTCTCACTGAAACACAGCGGCGCTCCGCTCGCCGCGGCGGAGGCTGGGCGTGAGCGCGGCCCGCGCAGGACCTCCCCCTAGCCCACCGCACGCGCGCCTGCCTCCGCCCTTCGCCGCGTTCCATTCCGAAGCGTCATAATTGACACGCAGCCCGGGCGCGTTCCAGGCAGCCTCCTCTAGGGCAGCGCGTGTTGCTTCTCGCGAGACTTGGCTCTAGGTTGGGGCGGGGCAGGAGCGAGTGAGCTAGTTAACACCCCGGCCCGCGCAGGACCTCCCCCTAGCCCACCGCACGCGCGCCTGCCTCCGCCCTTCGCCGCGTTCCATTCCGAAGCGTCATAATTGACACGCAGCCCGGGCGCGTTCCAGGCAGCCTCCTCTAGGGCAGCGCGTGTTGCTTCTCGCGAGACTTGGCTCTAGGTTGGGGCGGGGCAGGAGCGAGTGAGCTAGTTAACACCCCCGCCCCCCTCCCGACCCTGTCTGGAGACGCTCTCTGCTCTCCAGCGTGCGGTGGGGCGCGGGCTTTAGCGCCGCTGCAAGGGAGGCGGGCTTGGCGTGATGCGTCCGCGTGGGGAGAGGGCTCTGCCTGGGGGCGCCAAGCGTCTTTCCTCCCCCCAAGTCTGCAAAACCGCATGGGCGCTTCTTTGTAGCTTGCCCAGCTTCAGCGACTCACTCCTCACTGGCAATCTGGCTTAGCGCCCGGCGAATTGCAGTAAATCGCCTCTGAATAAATGTGCACAACATCCTGTTTTCAGCTTCGTTTTGCCACCTTGTAATCCGGAGTTGTACATGGTGAAGTGTCTGTACACCTCCGGCTGCAGGCATTTAATGGTGTATTTTATTTCTTCTGGGGGGGAAATCAGCCAGAACAATTCAGCCAATTACTAACCTAGAAGGCTGGGGGGAAAATCCGTTCTTTGCCCATATGGAAACATTCTGCTGACCTTTTCTTCAAACAGCTGTGTGGTTTAAAGTAAAAGGTTCGGAAATGTGGCTAGTCCCAGGAAGGTGCAGAAACAGGCAAACTATTACTAAATATCTTTTAAACTTTTATTAAAGGGCTTTGTATAAAATCATAAGATTTTATCAATTTACATACATAGGCACCAAATAATTATTAGACGGTTCGACCATCGCGGATTCACGTATATACATAATGTAATGAAAAAAGTCCGCGAAGTCGTGAATCCGCGATAGTCGAACCGCGAAGTAGCGAGGGTTCACTGTAGTTGTTAACAAGGGACTAGGGATTATTAACAGTTACATTTACATCAGTCTTACTTATAAGACTAATCATTTATCTAAAACTTTTAACACTACTAATCTGAAATTGTTTAGAGGTATTGTTAACAATACTTACATTTAACAGACACAAACTACAACAACAACATATTTGGTATTCGTTATGTTTGGTATACGTTACACTCTACAGGAACTCGTTTGGTTCGGTGAGCGGGAGGTGGCCCTCGGGTGATCAGTCCTCGGACCTGGCTCATATTCCGCCATCCAATGTTTATTCGGGATTCCTCAATTTGATACAGGAGAGGAAGCTGTTTTATAGAGAAAGCTTTTGTGCGCTTTTTGTGATAGGCTAGCTGTTAAGTGACAGGAGTAAGGGGATGAGATGGTTTCCTGTTTTTCCTTTTCTGCCTTATCGGACATGGCACAACCAGCATGAACTTTACATGAACTTTTTGGGTCTGGTTTTGGTTCCTATTCGTCGCTGATCTTTAAGTTACATAGTGTAAGGGTTTTCATCAAGGGGAAGTTGACCTTTTGCTTGGATGGCAATACGCGCGAGAGGCCTGGCCAGCAAAGAGCCTGCTTTCACAAGCTGGAGTGCCCTGGAGCTTTAGAAAACAGACTTGACATTTGGTGGAAAGATGGCCCTTGTGTCAACGATGTCCTTTTTGCCACCCCATGACATTTAGCCCCAGTTGTAGTTTGTGCATGGTCAGCAGGGACTTAATTTTAGTAGCAAGAAACTCTGAAGAATCTGGCCTCATTCAGCATGCTCTGGCCAAACCCTCCCAGCTGATTGTGCTACTGCTGACTAGACTTAGGAGGGTGTTTAGCTCGCAGAGCCTGAGCATGCTCCATCTGCTCTCAGTTCTGGGTAGCGGGACTGTCCGGCTGCGTCTAGACTGGCATGATTTTGCGGAAATACTTTTAGCGGAAAAGTTTTTCCGTTAAAAGTATTTCTGCAAAAGAGCATCTAGATTGGCACGGGTGCCTTTGCACAAAAATTGCTTTTGCACAAAAACGAAGATTTTGCGCAAGAAAGCCCCGATTGCCATTTTGCGCATCTGGGCTTTCTTACGCAAAAAATTCCTTCCCTGTCTACACTGGCCCTCTTGCGCAAATACATTTGCACAAGATGGCTTTTTCCCGAGCAGGAGCGTCAAAGTATTTGCACAAGAACACTGATAATCTTACATTAGATCATCAGTGCTCTTGCGCAAATTCAAGCAGCCAATGTAGACAGCTGGCAAGTTTTTGCACAAAAGTGGCCACTTTTGCGCAAAATCTTGCCAGTCTAGATGCACCGTCCGTTTATACATTAACACAACATGATTCAGGTTACAAAGTTAGGCACTCAAAGTTAGGAAATGTCACTAAGGTTAGTGTTCTTATTTGGGCACAAAAGAATGGGGTAGAGAGGTCTATGACTAACATGCTTGTCTATTATTAAAGTTCTTAGGCATCACTTAGGTACAAATAATAATACAATAGAGTTCTAGTTAATGATAGATAGTAATAAAGACATGGTTATAAGATAATTAAAGATGAATTTTAATGGCATTAGTTAAACAGGAGGTTAAATGATCTAATGATCCCTTCTGGTCTTAAACCCTCTGAACCTATAAAACCTCCCTGCCCACTCAGGATTATTAAAATACCAGACTATTAACCCCTGCGTCCTGGCCAAATATCAAGTACAACAATGATTTTCTAGATGAATGAGGCTAGGCTGAGCAGAATTAATTTCACCTCTCTTTCTCAGTTCTTTCCCTGTGTGATTAACAGCAATTGCTAATTACCTAATCAATGGAATTAATAATATACACAGACTGTGTCTAGACTGGCAAGTTTTTCCACAAAAGCAGCTGCTTTTGCGGAAAAACTTGCCAGCTGTCTACACTGACCGCTTGAATTTCCACAAGAACACTGACTTCCTAGTGTCTGAAATCAGTGCTTCTTGCGGAAATACTATGCTGCTCCCGTTCGGGCAAAAGTCCTTTTGTGCAAAGCTTTTGCGCAAAAGGGCCAGTGTAGACAGCTCAGATTTGTTTTGCGCAAAAAAGCCCCGATCGCTAAAATGGCGATCGGGGCTTTTTTGCGGAAAAGCGCATCTAGATTGGCACGGACACTTTTCCGCAAAAAGTGCTTTTCCGTTAAAAGCATTTGCGGAAAATCATGCCAGTCTAGACGTAGCCACAGTGTTTAAAACAGCACTATTTAAATTCTGATAAATCCCCATTACATGTTGACTGTAAAATTCAATTTGCGCCTTGAGGTTAAAATATTTAATGTAGGGTGTCTAAAAGTTAGCCAAAATTTACATTTTGGCTTACATGTGTAATAAGAACCTAAATCTCCCACTGACACTAAGCAACCAAGTTACAAAATCAGGGCCTACAACCCCTATCTTGTCTATTCACTACAAGAGAGAGTTAATGTAGTTTTTGTCTGCAGTGATGCAAAGAGCACAGAATCCACTTTGGAGTTATGTTTCCACTGGATGAAATGTTCGTCAGGCAAAGATGCCGACCCCAAGGTTCATTTTGTTCTCAGCACAAAGGAAGAAGGTGTGGCCTTTGTAAACATAAATATGACCAGGTACAAAACATTTGCACCATGTTCCTTCACCCCAACATTGCCTGTTCAGCAGAGAGTGTAAACAACTGGGCTGCGTCTAGACTGACAAGTTTTCACTTTTGCGCAAAAACTTGCCAGCTGTCCACAGTGGCCGCTTGATTTTGCGCAAAAGCACTGACGTTCTGCTGTCCGAAATCAGTGCTTCTTGCACAAATGCTTTGACATTCCCATTTGGGCAAAAGCCCTTTTCCCAAAAGGGCCAGTGTAGACAGGCAGCTAAGATGTTTTGTGCAAAAGCAGGCTAAACGGAAAAAAGCCCTATGGACGCTCGGAGGCTCCATAGCCACAATCAGCTCTCGGACTTCCTGGTAATCTGATCCCTCTTAAAGCAGATGCAGGCTGCTGAGGTCACCAGGCAGGAGCCCTCTGGCCACAGCTCTGCCACGTGGCCTCTGCTGTCGAGCAGACACCCCTCCAAGCATGATGGCAGA